ATCCAAGGCTGACCTCGAACTCTGTATCCCCCTGCCTCCACCTCCCAAGTGCTGGGTTTACATGTGTGCCCCCAACATGCCTGGCCAGTTTTTTTCTCTACTTGATTAATGTGGGTGATGGATAGCATGTCGTTAAAAAGTGATAAATGCTATAGTAACCATGTCTAGATGCAAATCCTGCCTCAGTTGCTTCTTATTTTCATTAAGAGAAGAAGAAAGAAAGAGGAGAAGGAGGAAAAAAAGAAGGAGGAGGAGGGAGGGAAAGGGAAGAAGGAGGAGGAGAGGAGAAGGAGAAGAAGGTGAAGAAATGTAGCTCTTAGGACAGATTCAGTTACACCGTGAAAACAAGTATCAGTACCCGATGGCCTGTGACTTTGTCATGCAATGTGATCATTGAGAAAAACAAGGGAAAAGGACATGGATGGTCACATGCTGGCTCTTCAAACTTCTGTCTGAGAGCTACATACATCACTTCTGCTCAGACTCACTGGTCAAAGCAGGACGTGCCTGAGCCTGTGTTACTGGGCAGAGAAATGGAGTCCTCCCAGGGCTGTAGAGTCCACCAGGGTGAGTGATGTGAGCCAGGCTGTGAGGACAGGTAAGGACCACATGGCTTCCTGGGCTTTTGGGAGGGTCTACAGGAAGGATATAAAACATTACTTCATTCAAACACCACTGAGGAGCTCCTGTTGTGCGCTTTTTACCAGGGTCCAGTGGGCTGGTGTGCTTGCCAGCTTTCTTACTTACAAGCCCATCCTCACTAACAAGAACTGGGTCATTGATACTGTATGTTATAATTCTCACCATCTATAAGGGATAGAGAACCTGGCTTAGTGGTTACTAATCTGGAAAGAATTTTCCATCGAATCACAGGGCAACTTCAGGGCAGCATGCCATTCTACACCAACAGTGCCAGAACCATCCACCCCTCTCCTCTAGCATTTGGATGGCTTTACCAGTATTTTGGCCACAAGATGGTACTGTGTATTGGGTATGATTTGAATGTATCCCCCCACCCCCTACCAGAGCATGTGTATGAGGAGCTAGGTCCCAGGGCAACAATGACATAACCCTTAAGAGGTAGGGTTAAGTAGGGGGGTCATTACTGTCCCCATATAGGTCTGGCCTTGGCTTCCTCTCCCTACCTGTCTCTTTTTTTCTTTCACACACACTCCTCCTACACACACACACATACACACAACCTCCGTACACATAGCACACATACACAAACACCCCACATATATACACACATACAACACACACATACACGTACATCCCACACATAGATACCCTCACATGTACACACACACACACACACACCCCGTACACATTTACACAGACATCACATACACATATACTATACATACACACGCATAACTCCCACATACACAGCACACATACACAAACACCCCACACACATACACATCCCACACATAGATACCCCCATACACACACACACACCCTATACAAAACATCCTAGACATTTACACATATTAAAATGCACACACACACACACACATAAACACACACACACACACACACAGGAAGCAACAAATTCCCACCACAATGTCATCCACAATAAAGTCCTTACCAGAAATAATACTGTTGTTATTTGGACTTTCAGCTCCCAAATTACAATCTAAATAATTCCATTTCTTTCTTGTAAGTTACCTAGCCTTGGTTATTTTGCTATAATTCCAGAAATCCTACTGTAGATGGCTTCTTCATAGCACCTGCTATATTTTTATCTCACACACTTATGACTCATACACTTCTAGTGGATGGCTCTGGATGTGGCCCCATGCAAAGTCAAAATTTAATAAAAATCATTCTAGAAGGCTAGATGTCTACAATAAATGCCTACTTCACCCAGTATAGGTGAAGAGATCAAGCATGAAATTTGCCTTCACATACCTTATCATTCAGGAAGGATACTTACATTAATTAAATTACAATCATATAAAGAGCAGAATTCCATAAGCGTGTATAACATCCGGACCCAGCCACCTATTTCAAAGCTTCCCCAAGGAAATGGAAAACAGATTGAAATCTGAAGAAACAGGACAGGAGTTTATCTGATGGGAGGTGAAAAAAGAGCCAGCACCCAGGAGGCAGACAGACTGCCCACAGTCTTCTGTCTGCAGAGAGTTAGGAAACCCTGGACTCGCTGAAGAAAAGCTGCTCCTCAGAGGTGACTGTGAGATTTACTGGAGGGTTGAGAGCCGTGACTCACAGTGTTCCACTGGCTCTGAGAAGTTCCAGTAGCCAGGGCCCCCCACAATCACCCACTCAGTGCAGAGTGAGAGAGAGATCCTTGAGTCTGATCTCATCCCCAACATTGTCTAACCTGGCCTTCTCCCTTGAATTGGCCTTATTTTTAAAATGTGTATGGTGTGTGTGTGTGTGTGTGTGTGTGTGTGTGTGTGTGTGTGTGTGTGTGTGTAAACTTTGAGGGGGAGGACACATATGCCAATTTACATTCATGGAGAGCAGAGAGTCAGTTCTCTCCTTCCACGGTGTGGGTCCCAAGGATTGTACTCCCATCATCAGGGATTACACCATTCCACACACTGAGCCAACTTGCCAGCCCCTGAACTGACTCTTTAAATGGCAACAAGAGAAAAGGATTGCATGAGAGAGGTCAATATTTTATAAACATGTGCCATCTACCAAACATGCTTAGAGGCCTGATATAAATGATCTCCAAGGAAAGGATTATCACAAGTGAGGGAACTGGGCCCTAGCAAGGTTAAATTGAGACACCAGTAAGAAGGAATTGCAACAAGCTTACCAACCCTGTCTCTCTAGTAATGATCCCTGTATTACATCCTGCAGCCAATAACAGGGCAGAGGAAAAATATACAAAGTTAGTAGTTCCCAAGTTGCAGTCCTAAAATCAGCGACATCAGTGACATCAGTGCCCGACCTCAGAACTTACAAATACAGATTCTTGAGCCCCTCATCACCCTTTTGGTTTCCTGGGTCAGGAATTCTGGGGGCAACCTGCCAGTGAACCCCAATTCTGAGAACCAGTGCACTAGGTTAGTGTGCGGCAGAGCGGCTGAAGAAAGGCCTTCAAACCCCCACTTAATATTTTTGGAGCATCTCTCCTCCAAATATGGACCGCGCCTTGGGGCTGCCTCTAAGGAAGGCGCTTCCCCTGGTACTGTGAACCTGCTCCTGGCAACAGCAGACCAGATGTTCTTCTGCACACAGATGTTTTTGCTGGGATGTAAAAACAACCCAGCAGAGCCCTGGCCCCAGGGTTGGGGGCCTAACAACATGTACATTTTCCATTCCCCAGGAGACCGGCAAGCCCAGGAGGAATGAAAAGAGACTTCCTCTCCCTTTGTACTTTAAAAAAAAAAAAAAAAAAAGGCTTCAAAGCTCAAAAGAGGGTTCCCACCACCCTTAATAAAGAAATCCAGTCAGCCCCACCCTGACCCCAGACAGAGCCAAAGCATCCCTGGGGATGCATAAGTCAATCGCTGTGGTGCCTTTTGGAGTAAAATTAGTAACAGAAGCCTTGTTTGGAGGAACTTGGTAGCAAGACTGTCCCTGTGATGGGCAGAGGGGATCGTGGAAAAGAGATGGGCGTGGGGCCAGGGGTGTTGCTGGAAGGGAGCAGGCATGGCAGTTGCTAGTTGGCACACTTGGTCGACCTGGCACGTCTGAGTCTAAGGAGGTGTCTGAGGAAATGCCTTTTGCTACAGAAGGTGGTGGGCCGCCTCTCATCACCCTGCCAGGCCTCAAATAAACTCAAGGTCCCTCCCAACCTCCCCCCAAAATGCCCATCTCAGGACCCGCGACCTAGTCTGCTGTGCCCCAAGGAGGCTGCCCTCGGGGAATTGCAGAAGTGAGGTCATAATGTTGCCTTGTCACCAGCTCCAGACAGGTGTCAAATGTCAACCTGCTGCCAGGACCGAGCCCGGATCTGAGGGCAGCAGCAAGCACCACAGAAACTTTACTTTGGATGGAAGTCTGAAGGCAGAAGGAGGCTGACCTTTGAATTTTCCAGCACAGCCTTGACAAGTTCAGAGAGTGAGCGGAGAAGAAAGTAGGTTAAGTGGGAAGGGGAAGCCATCAATCACTTCATTCCCGGGGAGGGACAGAAAGGAAAGGCTGGGTAGTACCCACAGGAAACATGATTGCTTCTCGGCTCACTGCAGGGGCATGCCCACTAGCAAATGCTCCATCTCCCCGTTATTTATATGGTCACAAAAGAAAGACTGAGAAGAAAAAAGACTTTTATTTCTCACCAAGCACTCACTGCAGGTAGGAGCTGGGTGTTTCTCTTTTTTGTCTTGAACAGTCAGGGCTGGGGGGCTTGTTTTGTTTTTCTCCGCTTTTGTGTGTGTGAATTTCTTGTTGCTGGCTTTGGGGCTTTGTCTTTCTTATTTTTCCAGCAGGTCCTAGTCACAGAAAACAGCCGGGGCTCTAAGTGAATACTTTTCTGTAAAAAGACTTGTATGACCATGTGTGACTTGCGAATTATACCACAATGGTTACAGAAAGACTGGATGCCAAGACTTCAATGGATGCTAAAAAGCCAGGTGAGGGCTGGTGAGATGGCTCAGTCCAGAGTTCATACTCTACTAGAGGACCTGAGTTTGGATTCCAATGGCTAATCAGGCAGCTCACACCTGCCTCTAACTCCAGCTCTAGGGGATCTAGTGCCCTCTTCTGGTCTCTTTGAGCACTGCACCTATGTGCACAAACACATGTATATATACACACAATTAAAATAAAAATTAAAGCTTTATTAAAAAAACCCAACAAGTTGATGGGACTGGGGGGACAGCTCTGTGGCCAAGACCACTGGCTGCTCTTCAAGGAATCAAGACCAAGGTTTGATTCCTCTCACCTATGTGGTATCATATAACCATCTGTAATTCCATTTCCAAGATACCCAACAGCCCCTTCTAGCCTCTGTGGGCACTTGCACACTCAGGCACATATAGGCATACAAACATACATAATTAAAAATAAAAATAGAAAAAGTGATAGTATCATAACAATATTTTGGCATTTTCCCCCCAAATCAACATGCAAACTATAGAAATCATTTAGAGGAAGAAAGAGAACATTGTTGTCAGGTGTCTGGTGTCTGCCTTCCCTGGAGGTGAGAGCCAGGTTCCTGCATGCTTGCCGGCCACCTCTGACTTGCTCCTGTTGGTGGTGGCTGCTGCTTTTCATTATTTGATTCTCTGGCAGTTTCATACATGTGCATAATGACTTTCAGTCATCTTATCCTCCTCCCAGTGAAACCCTTCTTCTCCCCAACAAAAGCCCCTCCTACTTCTGGGTCTTCCTTTGTGTGTGAGCCACTCAGTCTAATTAGAGTTGTTTGCATGGGCATGGGTAGAAGGTTATTTCCTGAAGCAGAGACAACTTGTCAATGGCTACACTATTACAGATGATGGTAGCAACTCCCCGGATGACCATTCACTTCCATTAGTCCTGCAGGGAAGGGTGGGACCTCATGGGCCCCTCCCACACACTTGATGAATATTGACAGGCCTGATCTCCAGCAGCTCTTGTTCAGGTAACCACATGAAGACAGTGTGTAGATAGGAGTTTTCCTGTGTCCTGCAGCCATTCATTCCCAAATAAACACACAGAGGCTTATATTAATTATAAGCTGTTTGGTTTATGGTCTAGGCTTATGACTAACTAGCTCACTCATCTTAAATTAACCCATTTCTATTAATCCATGTATCGCCACGTGTCTTGTGGCTTTACCTGAGTTCCATTACATCTTGCTTCTCAGGAGGCAGCTCTCAGCATTTCCACTGACTCTGCCTTTCTTCTCCCTGAGTCCCTCTTGGGTTTCCTGCTGGCTGTCTCCTGTCTTGCCATAGGTCGAAGCAGCTTCTTTATTAACCAGTGGTAGCAACACATATTCACAGCGTACAGAGAGACCACCCCACAGCAGCAACGGCTGTGTCATGGCCAGAAGACATCTTTTTGCTGCACATTCCCCAGCTTCTGGCTCTGACATTCTTTCTGTCCCCTCCTCCCTGAGCCTTGGAGAGGATGACAGAGTTGTCCCATTTAGGGATAAGTATGACTCCAGCCTTCTTGATCCCAAAGAAGTTCAAATAAAATGCTATTACCACACTCTTTCTGCATCTGTCTCCTCCCACCCTTTCTTGGTGTCTGCCCTAGGGCAATCAATCTACCTCACAGTGCAGAAAGAACAAGACTACCCCAAGCAAGGCTGATGACAGACCTGTTCGTGGTCTTCCAAGTGAAGATCACACTCTTTCCCCAACTGTCTACCTAGGGCTGGTGTTCTAAGGCCAACATTTCTGATCACAGGCATTGGTTATTCCCTTGCACAGAGCTGTACCGGGTTTCACCAATTCCATCCTGTCTCCTCTGAGTGCTAGGGAGACTGAGAGGACCTGTGTTGCCTCCAGAGTGCAAATCTCAGGGTTCCTCAGAGTGAAGATTCTCTCTCTGGAATCTTCCCCTGGGTGGGTTAGGACACTGGAAATAGGGGCAGCTGGGGACACAGTAGAAAGTACGGCAGGATTTTTTGTTGCTGGTCGGCGCATCAGCCTTTCACTAAGGTAAGTGATTCCTTTTTAAACAGCATCCCTAAGAAAGAAGTGGGGTCAGGGAGACAGCCCTGCAGGTAAAAGCTCTTTTTTTTTTTGGTTTTTCTAGACAGGGTTTCTCTGTGTAGCTTTGCTCCTTTCCTGGATCTCACTCTGTAGACCAGGCTAGCCTCAAACTCACAGAGATCTGCCTGCCTCTGCCTCCTGAGTAAATGGTTTAGTGGTTAAGAGCACCTGCGGCTCTTCCAGAGGACCTGGGTTCAAGTCCCAGCACACATGTGAGATATAGCAGGAGGCTGGATAGGACACATACACATGTCTGGGTAAATAATAAAAAGAAAAAAAAAGAATGAACAGAGTCGACTAGTAATTGATTATGAGACAGGTAAAAGCTCTTAACGTACAAGTCTGAGTTCAGTCCCCAGAAGCCACGTAAAAAGGCAGGCTTGATGGTGCCCATCTGTTACCTCAGCACTCCGCAAGTGAGATGGCAGGTGAGGACAGGAGAATCAGGTGGCCGGAGTATGCAGTGGGGCAGAAACCTACTCCCAAAGTTGCCCTTTGACCTCCACATGCTTCATATGGGACATGCACAC